TTATAAGGTCATTAATGAGTGTGTGATAATTATGTGCCAGTACCTTGTTAGATAAAGTCATCTTGATAACCCACACTTGTGTAATATTTTTTTTGGTTATTAAAGGGTCAGTAAAGTCTTATAACTAATATTAGCAAAGTGGAACATTTCAATTAGGCTATGTCTCATGGTTTTTTGTTTTTACCCTATTGAGTTTTCCACATAGCTTATGTTCTTCTCTCTGTTAGCTTCTCCTTTTTTTCTGTGTGTTTCAGAACTTCATATAATACCAAGATGATAATATATCACTTTATCATCACAAAATTATCAGACATCTATAATAGTTTCGCATCGTCTATGGAAAGCCATCGAAGAACTTATAAGAGTCGTTAAATGGCCAACGAATGTAGTACTCATAATAACGAAGCACCTTGTTCTAACTCCCACAATTTCCAAGGGAAAATGATGGAGTCAGGGACACTAAGTATGCACTTATTCCCTCCCTGAAAGACATTATCCTTCTGATAAAGGTGGCTTTGGAAGATTGAGTGCGCAAAATGGATGAGTCTCATAACATGATTTTTCATCTTCTACACGATGTTTGGTAATGGATGCCTACCCCTTCTCATTATGATGGGATTTTTCTCTGTCAGGCCATGACGTTGACCTTCTCAATACTATGAGGTCCACTCAGCCATCTCATGTGGGTAGGCTGACCCACAACCCTCTGACTCTCACAAAAGGCTTAGCTCAACCCCATCTTACTAACTATCTTAATAATTTAATTTGCGATGAGCTACTACGCATGGTTCGAGAAGAGTTCCCACTAAGTGATTTGAATTATTTATTGTCTCACTACAATCTTCAAGAGTGTTCACCCTTAGCCGAGATAGTCCTCCATCCCCCCTTCCCAACATGCTTCATGCTCCCAAACATTGACTCTCATGAGGGGGTGAACCTTCACTATAGGCTCAAAAAGTCGTTCATGTCAATGTCCTAGGCACAATTGTGGTCAGGTAGTCCCTTCGTCTTCCACTTGAATATCAAGCCCATAAGAACTAATTCTAAGATGGGGGGACAACTTTCACTGCATATAAAGAAGATTGTAAGTCAAAGTCCTAAGCGCAGTTGTAGTTAGCTTGTATTGCCACCATTTAGGCATCGTGTCTATGGACTCAAGTCTAAATATAAATTTTTAACAACATGCATAACTAACTCTTAAATTTTAATTTATTTGGAATAAATTATATTAATATTTTTAAATGAATGAGCCATGTTGAATACAAAATTGTTCGAGAGACACGCCCAAGCAATAGAGCTCGAAAAGGATAGAGACTGGAATAGAGAGAGAGGGCAAAAACATAATATAACGTAGTAAAATCACGTAACCTTTATTCAAAAAATGAAATTTCTATTTACAGGAAGTGGGGGTGTACAATTAAATTTTGTACCCCTGGAAGTGATGGCTACGGTGGGGCCATTTTGGTCATTACATAAATATAAGGGCAGGAGCCTAGGAAGGCGCCCAGCCGGACCTAGTACCCACGGAGGCATCCGACCGGTTAGGACTGGGAGCCTATGATGGCTCCCACCCGGTGTTTTTGGTGTCAAGGCAAGCAATTAGTGTGGGCCTGGAGGTTCTACTAAGTAGGCTATCTCTTGAGGGCTTATGCTTGAGGGGACACAACTCAGAACGACTGCTTCGAATCCTAATGGTCTGGCTCGGTCATCCGGTCTAGGCAGAGTAAAAGTTACCAAACTTGTCTGCGGGAGTCGTGTTGGTGAACTTTTAAAAGAATGATTGAACTCTGTTTGTCTCAAGATTATCTTTCTTCCGGCTTGTATGGGCCGGCTTGCAAGGCCTAAGATTTCGGATTTTCTATGGCTGGTCCAGCATGCCACATCACCCCTTCTGTAGGCCCTCAGATTTCTTTAAGATTCGTGCTAACATATTTTTTATGTACATATTTAATTTACTCGATTCTCTTACTCCTCGAGTTAAGGAGAGCGATTTTAACTCATTAGTTTATTAAATTAGGCTGATGAGTCGTCCATCCAGCTGAGGTCTGGAATTAAAATGTCGTTAGTTGTATTAAAACTATCCTAAAAACATGTTGGATCCCAACTGGAGAGGTGATAGCCAGTCGCCGTCGGTGGGGTCCTGACGTTCCTTTCTTTGTGGACTGTTAAGCACCGGCGATCCGCTGACACCGCCCGGATCTCCTCTCCCATTAAAATATTAAAAACCCTAAGTCTCCATTCTTATGCACCTCAAACCCGCAACTTCCCTCTTATTACATTTTCATACCCCACAATTGCAAACTCGCCCTTTTTCTTAAGCCAACATTTTTTTCCAGTTTTGTCATATCCACGTCTTTTTCTGAGCTTTCTTTTTCGCAAGACTTTTATGGGCGACGTGTATAAAGCAAGTTCTCAGAGAGTACGGTCACCTGCTAGTGAGCATAAGCAATTTATCTAAATAAACTGTGCTGAGTTAATCTACTGTGAGAATAATATGCTGAAGCTATAATTACTAGAAATATGAGAGGCACTCTTACTGATAAGATAAATCCTTATAATTTTGAATGAAGTCTACTTCTAACTCCAGAAAGAATATTATAACAGGAGTCGTGATGTAGTTTTGCATCAGGATATCAATCAAGACCTGACATGTGTACAAGCAGGTCCACCTAAGTAAAAAAAATTAATTTAATAAATGGATGAGTTTGTCTGTACACATCAGACCTTGATTAGAGTTATGTTGTAAAACTGCATCAGGACTCCTCACTTTATTAGATGTGGTGACCCTTTTTCTTTTTTTTTTTTTTTTATGGAAGAGAAATTATTTCATTGTTAGCTTGAGATTTGTATACATACCATACATTTCTTATGTATTTGTATATCCAGAAACTAAACTTTAATTTTAGCATTTATGTTAATTTTAATTACATAAAAAGGGATATTTAACTTCAAAAAAATTAATAATTATGATTTTTTAATGTGATTTAAAAATTTTGAGTGTTATATATATATAAAAACCAAAATTTAGGTCTTTGATATGTAAATAAATATGAATTGTGTTGTTTGTATGTAAAGAACTCAAAAATTTGATGAGACGGGACTAAGGGTCTGTTTGGGGCAGCTTATAAGTGCGGGCGGCGTTTTCAAAACTCAGCCGTACCGTTTGGTTAGCGTGTTTCGCCAACTTATCTGAAACTGCGTTTGGGTTTTTACACTAAACGCAGGCCGTGGGTCGACCCCTACGGCCGGCCGCGGGTTTCAGGATAAACAACTTATCATAAAACTCACAAGCTGCCTCAAACGGACCCTAAGTGAGATAAAGAGAGCTATAGTGTGATCTAGAAATAAAATTTAATCAATTCATATGATTATATATATTTTTTATTTCTCTATGAGTTAACTCAATTGTTGATGCATTAAATATTTTGGGAGAAGCAAGTTCACGTGCATGATAAAATTTATGAGTCATGCAAGAAAAAAATATTAAACTTGCATTGGATTATATTAAATATGTATGTTTGAAGTTTCTTGCAATGAAACATGAGTACAGGCCGAATGACATGTATGTTAGTGCCTGCCAAATTAAATTTCGAAGAACTTCTCAAAAACTAGATGAATATCTCGATGTTGATTAAATATGTCTCATTGTAATTTTAATTCAATTTGGACAAAAATTATCTCATTTGACCTAAAGTGAACAAATGTCCGACACTATCTACTTAATATGGGATGTGTGGGTGTACATATAAAAATATGTAAGCAAGAATCTCAAGTCAGATTAACTGTTAAGGAAGATGTGATCGATCGAACATAGCCTTCGACTATTATTTTTTGGCTGAACATTAGCAAGAGAAGCATCTTTTTCGAACGATCGGTGGAAGACGCCAGGAGAAACTCTCACAGGGTGGTAATCAGCCTTCATGAGGATTGACATGGAGTACTCTTTCAGACTAAATATCAATCGACTTAAGTCTTAACAGACGATCAATAACTCTCATGGATCGAATCAATTCTCGCTCTTATTATATGGGAATAACTCTATAATTACCAAAAAATTCCCTTGAAAAGTTAATATGTATTTTTGTAATGTTAGGATCTATGCCTATAAATAATAGTCCATATCTTGGATAAATGACACTCACTTTTATTGTTTTACATTGTGTTATATATCTCTCTAATCACTTCTTAGTTGAATGTTTTATTTATTGCTGTGTTTTTTTAATACTTTTGGATTGAACACTGGGATTACGAATATTTGAAATTCAACAAAAAAATTATTCACTTGTGTTTAAAAGAAGAGAAAAACCTTCAAGTGATAGAGAAAAGAACATGACTTGTTTCTATATACTAAGAGTTTAATCTTACAAAATATTGAAAATACAAAATAGAACTTCAAAAAATATAACAAAAGTAAATCATATATTGTAAATTTACTAGATGCACGGAAATTAGAGAGAGCAATAACTTAATTTGAAATTTGAAACTATTAAATTTGGTTTGTTGATTTAATAATATTGTTCACCCATCCACAAGCATTTTTGCCTAATGCTTGATAAATTAAATATTTAAAAAAATATATTTAATCATTTTCTCAATAAAATGTTTACTTATCCTCACAAGAAAAGTGTAGTTTTTCCCCTGCCTAGATGATGACATCACATATGTGAGATTAAATATTTAATTTAGACCATATGCTTTATATATATATTTAAAAGGGGGGTACTAGCTCTAAAACCCAAGCCAATCTCTGAAACACTCCATAGGCCCAAAATTTATACTATTCCCCTACATGTCGCTCTCTACTCTCTAACCTACGTCCGATTCCGGTCACCACCTCATTCTTTTCTTTCCAGCTAAATTAAAGTTCTTTTTTTTTTGCTTAAACCCCCTAATTTTTGTTCAATTTACATATACCTCCAAACTAGGTTTTAATGTAATTTTATAGCCCAACATGGGAACTTGTTAACACTAGCCCTTCCTCCATTTGTTTATAAACTCCACCCCTTGCCGAATGCCTCCGGAGTCCTACTTCCTCCTCATCACGCCTCTCTTCTCTAACTTCCCTTCTGGTCATGAATTCAGACCAGAGGTAATATCAGTTGCAGAAGCAGCAGAGCAGCCCTGTTAATGGCAAACGAAGGGGCAGTAATGGAGAAGATGGAAGGAGAAGAGCAAGGAAGCTGGGTTTCAGTTGCAGAAACCTTCCATTCCCGTCACCTCTCCAACCCGTGCATAAGCTAATTTTAACAGAATATCACCGATTACTTCACCCAAAACTACAGTTGTTCCATCAATCCGCCATTCTCGCACCTCAAAACATGAAGCGCCCGGCCGCCACCGATTCCATCATCGCCCCCTTCTACTCTTCTGGTTAAGAACAAAAAAATCCTTTTTTTTTTCCTAAAAATTCCTTCTTTTTTCTGAATATATAAATCAATCAAATTCACGTCTACTTTGCAGAGGAAAGAGGAGAAATGATGCCGGAAGAAGAAGACGAAGATGATGAGATTTGCTGCGGCGGCGGCGGCGGTGGCGGCGGCGGCGGATTGAAGAAAAGAAGGCTGGGAACTGATCAAGTTCGAGCTTTGGAGCGATGCTTCGAAATAGAGAACAAATTAGACCCCGAGCGAAAGGCTCGTCTAGCTCAAGAGCTCGGTCTCCAGCCCCGCCAGGTTGCCGTCTGGTTCCAGAACCGCCGCGCACGGTGGAAGACAAAGCAGCTCGAGCGCGACTTCGCCTCCCTCAAATCCCGCTACGATGCCCTCCGCCTCGACTTCGATTCCCTCCGCCGCGACAACCACTCCCTCCTCGCCGAACTAACCGACCTCAAATCCAAGCTCGGCCCAATCCCCCCGCCCCCCCAACACACAGGCCTCACGGC